GCTTTGATAATCCAAGTAAGGTTTAAGGTTAGTTTTTGATTCTAAGTTGTGCCTTGCTTTGTTTGCTTGAGTTGTATGATTAGAAATTCATGGTTCTCCCCTTTTTCTTGTGCTGGCCAAAACATGTTTATGGGAAGGGAAGAAGTTTTATTGGTCTAACATGTTAGAACACTTCAAAGCATGATAGATCCTAGTGGTTATAAGTGGTTGTAGATTGTTTTTGAAGTGTTTTCTTTGTTGTGTTGCATGAGGACCATTTTGGCCAAGACCAAAGCTGAACCCTAGGATGAGTTTTTTAATTTTTTGATGCTTCCATTGTGCTCAAAATGGAAAATGGTTTAAGATTAAAACCAAAGTTGTAATTTTTAGAAAATAAACCCTATAGTTCAGCCAAGCTAAAACTAGAAGAGGGAGTTTTATTTTCTTAAATCCAAGTACATATTTGGAATCTACATGAAAAACCATGTAGGAATAAATCAAGAAGGAATTTTTAGGGTTCAAGAGACAAAACTCTAAAAATTCAAGAACAAAGGTGGAAGCTTTAAAAAAGGTTTTAGAGTTCTTGAGTTATGTTGTTAATTTTATATGGAATGGTTGATGATTCTTGCTACCCTTTTTATGGCTAATAATACTAGGGTTTGACATTTGTGAAGGAAAAGAAGAGAAATAAAGAAAGCTCAAATCTTTGGAGTAAGGTAGCAAGTTGAACCTAACTAGTAACATTAACTTTGCATTATTGATTATTGCATGATTAGTTGCTATTATGTGGATGAACTTTCTTGATTGTGATGTGGCTGCTCTTTGCACTTTCTTGCTTTGGCCTTTGTATGATTGAGTTTGCCAAATAATGAGCATGCTAGTTCACCAATAGTAGTTAAGGTAGTTATGCATAATAATGATGCTTGTTGATGATATAGTTAGTTAATTTGGTATTGGGACTTCAATGAAATCTCATTCTCCAAATGCAATCTAACATTTTAGGGCTTGAAACTTCCAAAGTCAAGCTACAGATTGAAGGTTAAATTATGGTGCCTAGCCATAAAAAAATTCGTGGACTTTTAGGTTATGTAAATATTATGCTGGACAGTGCTATAAACCTAACTACATCGCTAATTTGGGCATTGTTTTGATTAAGTTCCTGAATGCTTTTAATCACAAAATTTGGCACATTTATAGGTCACATTCTAAGCTTCATTTTGATAGCTAATACATTAAAAATGGTCAAATACACAATTTTTAATGTAAGGTCTAGAATCTGAAAAAAGAGTGTTTACCAAAAGGACAGAGATGACTTTCACAAAAACCTGACACTTTTTCAAATGGAATTGGTTCACAAGATTATTTTTTCTTACAAGAGAATTCAAAGATCTTTTTATAGAATTGTGAACCACTCCATTTTGATTCTTCTAGATTAAGTTATGAATTTTCAAAGTTGGGCTAGATAAACTGGATTTTTCCCAATGAACAGTGAAAATATGAAAATTAGCGTTTTTTGTGAAAAATTAAGCCCAAGACCATCCAGTGTGGTCTAAAATGATTTTGATTAAACCCTAAGTGGATTTGACAGTAAGGTGTAATGTTTTTGGTATGAGAGCAGAGGTTCTGGCATAGGATAGAACGCTCTGCTTAGGTTATTCGTTAGCTAACAACGTTGGTTGAGGAGGAATTGACAAGTTTTTGCAAGAATTGAGATGAAAAACACAATGGATTGGGACGCTAGATCTGAAAAGTTGATCAATGATTAGGATGTTAACATAATTGATCTCACAAAAGAGGATCTGGTGTGATGGACTATGGAGACTGCTAGCCCAGGATACTCAACAAAGGGGTCTAAATCTAGAGCATTGGGCTAACCTTTTAGGGATTACTAAAGAACAATTATTGTACCTACTTGGACCCGGTGACCTAATAAATCCTGTAACTAGTTTGTACCAAGAACCATTAGACCTTAGCCTATACATTCATTCCATCAGACAACCTGTTACCCTAAATGTGCAACCAAGCAATATTCTTAGACCCAGTACTAGGCCAGTGGAACCCCTGGCACCTGCATTGCCTGACCCTACTCTAACGAAGCTTAGAATCTGTAGTCTTAAGCAACTGAAAGAGAAGTTAGAGTTCTTAGGTCGTCATATCAAGAAAAACGAGGATCAATAAGACCCAAACATTTATCTAGATTACCTTCAGGGAGTGAAGGTGTTATATCAGACTTATAGACCGAATAACCTTTATATAGATACCAAGGATTGGGTTTATACGATGACGGACATGCTTCTATATTTACCCTCATGGGTGAACGAATCATGTTACCTGGATCAAATAGTGGGTTCAGGTGTTGAGGATTACATCCAGTGCCTTGAAAACTTTGTCAAGATTTATTACTTTTAGATGGTAAGATCCTCATAATACTAACGTAGGACATGTTTTGTTATAGCTAACCATAATAGGTTAGGCTGGCGATGCTTGGTTATTATGTTGTTTGCTTTTCATATATATGTTTTGAACTTGTTGCTTTGGTTGATGCATAAGTATTGTATGCTGAATATTTAGTTAAATGAAATCCAAGCATGATGTTTACTTCTTGTTCCTCTATTATGCTATCTGAGTAGTTAAAAATGATGGTTAGAACTTGACGAAACCCTTCGCCAGAGAGACCCCCAGTTCAAGATGCAAGGGTCCCTCCCAATCCACTACAATTAATTTTGGATTGTCTTGAGTAACAGTAAAAGGCCATTGAAGATATAAGGGCGGCATAAGCTCACCAGGAACAAGAAAGGGATGCTGCAATGGTTGTAGTAGTAGCAGCGGCAATGGCTAACCTCAACAGGAGGTAGCCAAAAGAAGAAACCTCAGCAACACAAGCAACAGAACAATTGCCTAGACCAGCAATGCCAGCAGCAGACCCCGATAGCATCCAGTAATAGATGGTATGTTTTTTAAATACAACTCGCCATCATTTGATAGAGTGTTTGATGTCCAAGCAGCAGAAGACTGGATTAACCACTTGGAGAAGATCTTTAGAGTATTAGACTAGCCAACAGAGTGGAAAGCCCAGATGGCAATTTACAAGTTAGAGAAAGATGCAGACCGCTGGTGTAAGAATACTGAACTTGTTCTAGATGCTCAGAACACAAGGGTGACATGGGAAGTGTTCCTAGAGCAACTCCATGGAAAATATTTTTTAAAGTCAATCAGGGATGAAAGGGAAGCAGAATTCCTGACACTGAAGTAGAAGGATAATAAGCCATTTGACAAGTATTTGGCTAAGTTTATTGTCTCTCCCACTACTCCAGTTACCTACATTACCGGGATAATGAGAGGTGGATGATCGAGGAAAATGGTAAGAGGACTAAAGCAGTCCTTAAGGGAGATGATTGCTCCCACGCAGTTCGAACAGTTTAACAGGGCAGTTGAGGCCTGCCGAATTATAGACAATAGCCTGACCCATCATCTGATAGTTAAGTCTACTCCCAGGTTGAAGAAGGGAGATTAAGGTGGCACCTCTTCTAATGCCAATAGGAAGAGCAAGAGGCCATAGGACAACTGAAAGAGTAAAAAGGGAGGTGAGCCCTCAAATGGCAAGGAATGTCCAACCGACAGCAAGAGTCACGGTGATAGACCATGTGTGGCTGGGTAGAACTTTTGCTATACTTGTAGCAAGCCTGGACACTTCTCGAGAGAATGTCTGCAGAATACAAAAAAGGCAAGGCTGCGAACACAAGGATGAATATTTGCCCTCACAGGGGTAGAAGCCCAGAAGTCTCTAGAAATGATCTAAGGTATGATCATTATTAACAACTCCCTAATGATTGCAATGTTTAATTTGGGTACTAGTCATTCTTTTATCTCTATGCCTGTGTTAAAAGACTTGGCTTAATTATAAATATATTGCCGTATGACATACATGTGGTCACACCAACACATAATAGGGTAATTACATCTGATGTGTACTTATACTGTATAGATTGTTATAAACACTACTATACTGCCTTAGACTTGATATGTATGCCTTCCATGAAATTGATATGGTGATTGGATTGAATTGGTTGTCGTCCCATTATGGCAAGGACAAAACTTTGATCCTACCCTTAAGAGAAATGAAGGTAAATCCTGAAGTTAAGTTAAACTTTGTAACGAAAGCCCAGATGGGCAATGGTATGATGAATGAAGCTACGTAAGACTAGCAGAGGTTAAGAGAAAAGTGTGTTTTGTCATAATGAACCAAGGGAATTAATGGTGATGAATGAATGATGAGAGCCTTTTGTCATTTGCCTTGGGGTTCTCAATCAAAAATAAATCCAAGCTATGCAGTATAGTGCAAACTCAGGTCATTTCACTTTTGGGAGCCTTTATTAATTATCTAAGCTAGACTAAATGCCATGCAATGCAATGGAATAGGGTTTTGGGTTTTTAAGATTTAAATGAATGGTGCCTAAACTAAATGCAATGAAAACAAACTTAAGATACTATATTTTTGGTGTTTTAAGATAATAATGATGGAATGGAAATGAATGATAGGAAATCTCTTGAAAATGGTTTTGATGGCAATTATAGTTCACTTAAGATATTGGGAGTTTCACAAATCCATTAGGTTTTCTTAATAACAACCTCAATAACTCATTAAGTCTAACGTTTAAATCAATAAACTTCATTAATGAAAACATTGTTAAGCTTCCCTAATGTGAAATTTGAAAATGATCATGCAATTGGCTCAATGTAACTCAATCAACTCAGTATTAAAACATGACCATGAAAGATAGGAGAGAATCATGAGAGTTACAAAGAAGCATATATGTGACCACATATATTTAAGCACGAAATTCAACATCAACCAATCCAAACTACAAATGTAAATCATTAACCAATGATTACAGAATTAACCAAAGTGTCTCACTAAGAATTTACAAATCCTAAACCTAGGAAATCATAAATACATAGGTAGAAACTAAAGATTGAAACTGAAACTCCCCTTTGAAGCTTGGAAACTCATGCTACTCTACCATCTTCAAGAGTTGATAAACCCTAGCTCACCATAGCCTTGGAATCAGCTCCAACCAGAGTTAAATCTTCAACCATAGCAGTCAGGAGATGAAGGAAATGAGGTGGGATGAAGAAAGAGTGCAGGAAATGGAAGGGGAAGAAGATGGAGATGGAGAGGCAAGAGGATGGGAGAATAGAGGTGTTGGAGATGATAAAATGGAGTTATGGGATGAAAATAGGGTTTCTAAAGGTTTTAGGGGTCCATCTGGGTCGGATCATATGAATAGAGGGTCTATTTTTGCGTTCCGGGTCCGAATCTGACGTTATTGATACGAGAGAGTTTGCTACGGCGAACTCAAAAGTTTACTGTGGCGAACTATTCCAAAGAAGAATTTTAGTGAAATGTTGAGAGTTTTCCGCGGCGAACTCAAAAGTTTACCCTGGCGAACTATTCCAGAATAGTCACTGATGCACATTTTCAGACTTTTTACCACATCACAGCATTTTCTTAGAAACTCTCATGTTGTGTAATTCTTTGATCTTTAATCTTGGCTCTAATTCTCAAGTGTCCTACAATAAAAAGCAACAATTTGAAGCATCAATTGTCCTAGAAATCAATTGAATACAATTAATAACCAATTATGACAATTTTACCCTAAAAAAGACACTAATTCAAAGTAAGGACTCTTAATCAAAATTAAGCACAATTATCATCAAAAGGAGCCAAAATCTATGATAAATACCCTTAAAATGATATGAAATAACATAGAACAATTGGGTTCAATCAATGAATACAGAGTGATTACCAAAGGAGGTGGTAGCTTCTATCACTACAACCAGGGATTCTGGTCACGACAAACAAACATAATAACTCTTAGATGTTGAGGTGGTTGCTCAATGAGACACAATGACTTTTAGAGGTCACAGAGCATAGGATAAGTAGATGTTAGAAAGTAAGAGAGGTAGCCACTACTTAGAGTTATTAGATTCCCCCTCAAAAGGAAAAGCAATGATAAGGAGTTAAACAATATGGTTAGGGGTTGAGTCTATACAACAATAAGAAGGTGTAAGTGGCCACCTAAGCTGGACAAACTCTTACAGTCTCATTAGGGCTAGGGCACCATGATAGAGTAGCTATCTCAAGTCCTAGAATAGATGAATACGAACTTAGGGATAGTGAAGTCAAGATGGAGAGCCATAGTGAAAATGTCTTAAGGATCAAGAAGAAGAGGACGAGACAGATGGCTATGCAGGGAACTAGCTTAGAGGTTGGCATGGTCCCCTTAATGTTAAGAGATGCTCAGTCACTTGGGGTTTAGGTTGAGAGGCACTCTTTTCAGGGGATAAGGTCTTGGCTAGGAGTTTTCCTAGAGAGGGTGGGAATTAGTCCTCCAAATTAGAATTTATGTTGCTCAAGATGGAGCAAGATACCCTATCTGAGCGGGAAAGGAAAGTAGCTGAAGCAAGGTAAGCGAAGTGACTTCACCTAATGGGAGCATGACTAGCCAAGAACAAAGCTAAGCTTAGTTGTACTTGAGCTTAGCAGAGTACTAAAGCAAGCAGAAAGAAGAAGAACCTCAAAAGTCCTCTCCCTATGACTTCAAGAAGCAGCTGCAAAAAGAAAGAGAGGCTCCCTTTTGTGGGGATAAGATGTCTGGATGGCACGCTACAGACATAGCAACTAGTAAGAGCTTGCACTCATTGTATTGAAATGCCAGGCATTATGCATGCATTATGCATGTTAGAGTATGCTCGTATTGAAAAGTAAAGTGCAGGAAAGAGAAGTTGCATAAGTCCTCTCTCTATACCGTTCTAAAATAGTAAGAGACAGTAAGAGCAGCTGGAGGAATAAGAGAACTCCTAAGACAGATTGACTTAGGCACCTAAAGAGACAAATAGGTGGCTTAGGGAATTGACACAAGGCCTAAGAGAACGGTATTGATTCTTGGAACAGTTTTGGGGAATTATCAGTTAGGTGACCAACTGAGTAGAGGTGACTTTACTTAGTCTTATAGTCTAAGTCTCCCAGAGATCGGTACCTCTTTGGGAAGATAAAGACCAAGGATGAGTTGGAGATACAGAAACCTCCTTCGGTTGTAAATCGATACCGAGAGAGTACCCACCACTTCCTTCTAGATAACTTTATCATTGGTTAGGCTGGGCTTAATTTCCTTCTGATTAACAGATGAAAGCCAAAGTTAGAGAAGTTAGAGCCATAAGACCTGAAAAAGAGACATTGAGGCCAACTCTAGATATAAGAAGAACCTCATGTGATACAGAGATAGACTGAGTATTGACAGGCAGATCCTTAAGATAAGGCAAGAAACAAGAATATAAGCTGAAAAGACCCGACTAAAGATAGATCAAGAAAGGGTCTAAGACAGTAAAGTACCAGGGTTGAGCCTATCAGAATCAGTGTCTCAGATTCCTGTTAGCATTGTTCAGTTAAGCGTACCTAGACAAGAGTAAGCCAATGATAGGTAACCTCTGGGAAGTAATATAAGAGGGTATAAAAGCCAAAAATATTAGCCATATTGGCAAGAATGCACTAAGTCTAGTAGAAAATGTAAGATGAAAGTTAAGAAAGTTGGTAGGCTACCGAGTGTCCTAAGCAGTATGGTTTTGGACTAAGACCCAAGATCTACTCAAAGTTTGGAAGTCCTTATAGAAAGAAATGGGCACTACTCTCAGATTCAATACAACCTACCATCCTGAGACAGATGGGCAAACACAGAGAATGATGTAGATGTTAAAAGATATGCTACACGCATATGTGCTTGATTTTGGTAGTAACTCGGATACATACTTACCGTTAGCCGAATTTGCTTAAGATGACAGTTTCCATACAAGTATCCGAATGGCATCATACGAAGCACTCTTTGGGAGGAAGTGTAGATCTCTCTTATGCTGGATAGAGCTCAATGAAAGAAGTAAGTATGGTCCTAATATAGCAGATCAGACTTCCCAATAGATTAAAGTTATTCAGTAGAGACTTCTAATAGCTCAAAGTAGACAGAAGAGCTACCCATACACTAAAGGAGACCGTTAGAGTTTGATGTTGGTGATTAAAGTGTAACCGACAAAGGAAGTTGGTTAATCCCTGAAGACTAAGAAGCTGTCACAACCTGATAATTTTATCCTAATTGATGAATGATTTGAGACTAACTAAGGTCAAATAGTATAGTAGACTGGTAAAGGATCCAGGCTATGAGGAAAACTCAGGATAGGGGCATAACGGTCATTTTTGAAAAGATCGGTCAAGAAACGGCAGTATTGGAAATAATGTCCGAAATTCCTGAAAATTCTGAGAAAATCATGAAAAATAGAAAGGAGGGTACAAAATAATGTTTGAGGCTTAGAAGATGAATATATGATAAAAAATAATTTATTAGGGAATTATTTGTAATTATTGGAATTTTTGGTTAATTAAGGAAAATTAGCCAATTTCCATTATTTAAAATATATAGAGGCCTCAAAAATTCAAGGAAAAATAGGGATAAATCATGTTACATATTATCCTAATTTATAAAATTACTTCCCACCTTTGGATGTATAGAGGTTAGCTTAAAGAATATTTATTACCGAATTATTATCGGTAGAATATTGATTTTTGACGGAATAAAATTTAGAAAATTATAGAGGGAGGTAAAACTTGAGAAAAATCATGGAATATCCTTGGAATGAGGGGAATTTAAGGAGGTGTTGAAATCAAAATTTTGTGACAATAAATTGGACAGGATTGTTGGAAAATCGGACCGAAAATACACAAATAATCAGTAGATTGTACTGAATATTGGATGAGTCATTTTTCTCCCAATTTTTAGAATAATATTTCGGCCAAATTAAAGGGGGAGGACAAAGTTGGAATTTTCCAAATTGTTCAAGGGCATAAAGGGAAATAAGAGACAAAACATTAAAATAATATTTTATTTCCACATGAAAATCACATGGTGAATAGGTGTCCATCCATGTGTCAATTTCTTGTGGTGTGTGCTCTAGGATTTGTCCAAGTGTAAAGTGAAAAAAAATGGACGGCCGAGATCGCATCTTTTTCTCAAAGGGCATTCTTGGAATTTTGAAAAATCAAAGCCTATAAATACCCCCCTCATGAACATTTCAGCCAAGATGGTTGCTTGGTGAGGGAATGTTGCGTTCTTGAGTTCTAGGAGAGAGAAAGGAAGAAAGAAGAGAGAGAAAGGGAGAAAGCAAAGTTAGACACCTCTAATCGCCGATTAAGAGCTAATTAAGGTATGTTTACCTCCTTAAATGTTAATTATTTTTAGTTAATGATTTATTTGAGGAAGATTAGGATAAATTACCTTGATTAATTATGGTTTAGTGATAGCTAAGATTAATCATGTTATTTGATTAAAGATTAGTAAGTAATTAAGGTTAGCTACCTTGATTAATTAGTAATTAGTGATTAGTTATGCTAATTGAAGGATGATTAATTATGATTAATCATGTTGATTAAGGAATGATTAAAGGTTAATCATGTTGATTAGAGAATAATTAATGGTTAATCCATAAGGGATTAGTGACTTAATCTTAGAGGATTATGTTGTACTAACGACTATGTGACTTGAGGACCTTAATTAAATATTAGATTAAGGATTAAGGGTTAGTGATTAACCAAGAAAGCATGATTAATCATGGATTAAGGAAGAATTCCAAGACCTTAACTGAGGATTAAGGCTTAGTCAAACCAAAGTCAAAGGATTAGGAAAGGTATACAGAAGTTATAAATTGAAAGGCACAAGGGTAGTATTATATTGAGAAAGAATTGTATACTGGATATGGAATTTACCATACCCTTACTGTATGGTTGATAGGCAATTTCTGGAAACCTAGGAGGACCTCAAGCAAGGCAAACAAGGAGGAAACAGTAAGCGTGGAACCGAGGTAGCGTGAACTTGCAATTATTTTGTTGACCTGCATTTGGTGTTTCTGCTATGTGTGTTTATGTGCCATGAGAATGTTTATGCACAGATGATGTGAACTCCTTGCAATGTATGCCTTGGCTCTTGCATGATTGAGTTTTGACCAGAATGATTATATGCTCCTTGATATGATGACATGGATACAGAATGGTTATGGCATGGCATAAAGACTAGCAATGTTATTTTACTGCATGTAGCATGATATCTTATACATGTTGACCTGATGGTTGTATGTTCAATGCTACTGGGATTTCTATGAAATCTCATTCCCCCTATAACATGATATCCTAGGTGCCACTACTTCCAAGGAGAAGGGAAAAGAAGTAATCATGGCTTGAGGAAGTTATGAGTTATGTATTGTATTATATGGTTTTAAACCTTTCTCTTCCAAGC